TGACAATGTCGCGCGTCGCTTTTGGTCTTCACTATTTAAACGATCTGCATTCTTCGCTCGAGTCCGACAAAAATACAGCTTATTTACAGCTTACGTCGAAGCGTTGTACTTCTTCGAATTCAATCACGTTCAGTAACGTCATAATGGGTTTTCTCTTAATAACTCTTATGGCATTTTACAAGCTTTCATCTGCCGCGTTAAAATTACGAACGACTACTGCTTTCGTTGGAGAAAAGGATAAGTTGTAGATAAAACGTAATATATGAAATTCATAATCACCGAAAGATCTGTTCTTGAGACCAGAGATAGATACGCTACGCCGACAGCTTCGTCAGATTTGAAAGCTATGATTTTCAATATCTCAAGTGTCTGAATTTGTGACACAACGACTACCCGAAAAGTTCCTCTAGATTCGTAATTTTTCCGGTCGAGGCAGCGGATGAAAGCTTCTTCGAGTATGCACGAGGCCAAGTTTTGTCCGCACGACCGATACATCGTATCATAACTTCTTCGAGGAAAACGTGAATCGCGTCTAAACCACCTATATACACAACACTGTACATCGTTAATTTAAATCGAGGTGGAACTCAAAGGCTTAGCCGAGTAATAATGAACGGGCGTCCTCTGAGCACGAATACGACAACCTTCCTCATACACAGCGCCCGAGCAGAGTCTTACTTACTGTGATTAACGGACGTACTAGCCGATAGGAGTAGTCTGAGCCTGCTCCACGGCAAGAAGGCGCTTCCTTCTACTCGATAAGGAAAGTCGCGTGTGTGTATGTATATGTCTACCTAGCGTTAAACGCTCAGCCGAGCCGCTCCTCGGTTAACCGCAATCAAACTACTCGAACAGTTCGATTCACCGATCAGTCGCGCGTCGACGAGTGCGACTCGCGCGCGTTTCGCCTTGACGCGATGCAGTCCTCGTCCTCGTCGTCGCCGTCTTCGTCATCGTCGTCGTCGTCATCGTCGTCGTGGTCGTCGTTCGCACTTCTTCTTCACTCAAACAGAGTTCGAAGACAGAAGGACCGACCGTTCCGCCGCGTTTAAGCGCGGACAAGATCACAGAAACAACTCTAAGGCTCATCGCACCCTGGCCATGATATACACGCCGGCGGCCCCTTATATACCGGCTCTCTCGCACCGGCATCTTCGGGTTTACCGCTAAATGCAAGTAGAGTCCGGGTGCTGGCTGATGGACTTTCTCGTCTTCTTCTGTTCTTTCGTCGTTAGCTCCTGAGACGGCCTGCGCGGGCTGCCTAGCGTGACTAGGGCGGAGGCTACGGCTAGGCCAGCACTTTGCCCGGCTGGCGTGTAAGGCTCACCGCCGGTCGGCAATCTGACTAGCAGAGAGAGGACCGCCGCTCTGTTACCACAACAGGGCTCCAATGCGATCGGACTAGGAGCAGCCTATACGGAAAACGACAGTTGTTATTCGAGTCTCGCGGTATCCTGAGTGTAAAGTGTGAGCATAGAGATTCACTCGTATTTTCTTCGTGTATGAATATATCGTCGCAGAAGCTTTACCTTCTTCTTCTTACGGCAATTGATCAAATCGGCATCGCCGCCTTCCGAGTCTGAGTTCTCGATGTCGCGCCTCTCGATCTCTACGAGAACCTGACTGAACGCCCTGCTAGCCATCTGCTCCATTTCTAGGAAGAGTCGTTGTCTTCTTCGATACATGTCATACTTCTGCTTAATCTTCCAGAGAATGGCGGCCACCAGCAGCAGAGCGAGGAAGCACCTGTGCGGTGTCATGTAATCTCTAGTTTACAAGTAAGTACCGGTTGAGGTTCTGCACAACGGAGGAGGCATGGAGAATTTGGAAATAAATAAAGCGTACGGCCAATAGCCCCGTTACTTCTCAAGAGTCCCATTCTCTCCCCACAGAGAGCCCTACAGAGAGCATCGATAGTCGTGCTCGAGACTTAACGCACTGTTAACCTTCGCTTTATTTCGGCCTCAAATCAGCCCAAATTTTCGACCAGTGGTACTCACGTGCAAAATGTAATGAAAAACTGCTGCAGATTCAGCTTGGAGTACTGTGAGAACGAGATCTGAATCCACAGCGGCGGCTGGAAGTCATACATGTACACGTAGAACGTGGTGAGGGTATTGTTATCCTCGCCGCCGAAATTGTAGTCCGCCTTGCTGAAACGGTGCTTGTACATGGTCGTCGTGCAATTCGCACCAAGCAGCACAGGCTTCTCCGGGCTGTTGACCTTTTTAATGGTGACATTCATTTTGGCGAGCACAGAGCACGTGATGGAAAACTCAGCGTCGATGTCGGCTTTCGGCGGCGAATTCTTGAAGTTGATGGCTCGATAGTGGCGATCCTCCTTCTTGCTCAGATTAAAAGTGAACTGGTAGTCGATGGCCAAGTCATCTAAAATGAGATCCACACATGAATGATCACTGAATAAGCACTATAAACAAAACAGAGAAAAAAAGAGATATATATCGTCGGTCGACTCACAGAAACAAGAGCCTTTATTCGTAGGATCTCCGTGATAGAGACCGGACACGTCGCAACGCTCGCAATGATCGCCGATAATGCCCTTGGTCGTGCAAAAACACTTGCCCGTCTCGCTCGTGCATTGCGTGCCCTGATTGTTGCAGGAACAAGCTGTAATAATCGCACACGGGCGTCACTTGCGATTATCTCTCTCGTTTCTGCCTACCTGTTGTCGCTCATTACAAGCAACAATCACTTATAATATGTAAAAGACAACAATTACGTACGCTGACACGTCGCTCCGTTCAGTGGACTACCGTAATAGCCAGGAATACACTTGTCGCAGTGTGGTCCGTAGGTCAAGTTGCCGCACGGCTGAATGCACACGCTGCTGTTTGGAAGACACTTACTGTGACCATTGCATTGGCAAGCTGCGGGGAACGACACGCAAGAAGTGAATTAATACTTAACGACATTACGCAACGACGACGTGATATTCACGAAGAAAATGGCGCGATTGGACGGAACGATTCGCTTACTCGGACAATTCGTGAAGTACCAATTATCTCTCGGGCACGTATTGAAACTCTTGCTGCTGGGGCCGCCAGCTCCACCAGGCAGGCACAATCCTTTGCCGGTCTCGGACCCGTCGTCGCACCAGCCGCAGCCTGGGTCCGCTCGACACGTGGAGCACGACGAGTAGAAGCTGCACCATTCTCTGCCGGTCTCCGTTGCGCGACATCGAGCGTCCATCGTTGTCCACTCGCGACATTGTCCGTACGGGAAGCTAGCCGGATACGCGTTCTTATCCACGCACTTGGCCTCGTTCTGACACCAGATGCAGTCGGATTCGGTGCAATTTCGGCACGATGTGTACTCCACACACGGACTACGGCATGTGTCCATCGTCAGGCGTTGCGCCAGGATTGTGCCGTTCAATACGCTCACCTGTTTCGGTGGCACGTGAGGAATTACTCCCACCGGTCGATCGTTCTGTCCGCAAACCAAAAATGATTTAGAAAATGAGACATGTGCTAAATACATTTTACATTTGTTTCTAAAATATATTTTCGAATATTGAGTCATCTTATAAATAATGCAACTCTTCTAGCAATCAGCAGTCGCTAATCATTGTGGCCGTTGCGGGTAGGAAAGTGATATTACGTGGCGATATGTATGTAAATGAAAGTACGTAATAAACCAATACTTGAGAAACTTTTTCGTTTTTTTCTCGCTTAAATTTGCATCATGACATCTAGTAGCAATTGTGAGATGACTCAATGTAAGAGCAAACAAGAGACGCTACGAATGTTCGTAGTCACGTATTTCGTACACTCACATCTCGGGTCTTCGATTGCGGCTTGCAACGATCGGGTCCGTTGGACCACGACCATATGCAGCGCGGATTGCTGGAACAAGCGTGACACGTGTGCAACTGCAAACACTCGATGCCGGTGTTCGCGTCGCACTGCTCCAGATCCTTGATGACGAGTCGCGACGCTGGTGAGTTGGGATGATCCCGGCACTTCTCGTGAGAGCAGCTTTTGCCACACCAGACGCAATTGTATGAGGTCTGTACGCAGGCGACGCAGTCTATGAAGAGTTTGCAGAGCTCCTCGTGAGACGTCATGCCGCGTGGCGGCATCTCGTCCAAGCATCTCATGTAAACGCCGTCGTGATCGTCATACTCGTGATTAAGCACATGCTGTGGTATCTTCGTAATCTGCAAACATCGACCGTCCCGCTTGTGCCACACACATTTCACGCCTATTCTGGCGTTCAGGCACTGATACTGGTTTGTAATATGCTCGCAGTTTCCCGGTGTATACCTACAGCAATAACAAAACAATCCCTTATGTATGTGTGTACATTGTTCATGTGACAGAAAGCACCGACTGCACTTCAATACGAGTTTTTGTCACTTGATGAAATCATGCAATCAAAGAAACGAGGCCGAGACAAGACAAAGAAAGACATTGAATTAGCTGTAAGAAAAGACAACTTTGACATTTTCCTTATATCGGTCGTCATACATGCCTTGATACTTATTATTAAGGCATAATTTCAGTTCAATATTCTCTTTCTGGGACAAATCTCCTCGAGCGCAAATTAATACAGCTATCATTTATAATAGTTTTTACAATTTTCAATCGTCAGCATTACGTGTGAGATTAAAGATCATACAAGAGTATGATCATTTTTAAGGCTGTCGTATACAGTACACAAAGTTGAGTCCGTACCTCAGCATGTCGGATAACATTTCACCGTTGAAACCGCCAAAGATATACATCGACTTTTCGAAGACTGTTGCAGTATGGCCGTATCGCGGCAGATCGTTCATGTCTTTGGGCATGGTGTATTGATGCCAAGCGTCGCACGTGACGTCGTAGCCCAGCGTGTCGGACGAGTAGCATCGCGCGCCGTGCGAGTGATGCGTGTCGTTGTGCATGTTGCCGCCAAACACCAGCATGAGTCCGCCGGAGACGAAAGCGGCTGTATGAAAGAACCGCGCCGACGGCGCTGACGTGAGCAGCCGCCACTCGTGAAAATTTGGATGGTAAGAGTACAGCCGGCTGGTCAACACCTGCGTGCTCTGCGACTCCGACACGTAGCCGCCGTACACGTATATGAGATTCGTGAGGGGATCGTAAGCAGAGCTGTGCCCGTAGCCACCCTTCACCGGGAAGCCGATCGTCTTGACGATCTGCCACTCCCGCGTACCCAAGTAGTACTCTTGGACGGTGTTTAAGTAACCATACTGGGGCGAATAGCCGAATATCACAACCATCTTCTCCTTTTTGTTGAGACTCTGCACGAGGGTCGCGGTATGCCCGGCTACCTGTGTAAAAACGATTCGTTGAGACGATTGAGATCAGAATCGCCAGCCAGAAATTCGAGAATACGAAACACATCTACATCATATCGCCATATAGAAAATTAGAGAGGTTTCATCAAGTTTCCAGCGATAAAGAACCACGAATCGTGACAAATAAAGTCGTGACAGCTACCTATATCTTTTTCACCAATTTCAACTGAAATGTAGAGTTATATTCTTTGAGGTAACATATATAATCGCAGTCAAGCTGCCCGGTTACCTTCAGAGGGCCGCATATCGTCTTATTGTGGCAGTTGTCATGTACGGTGACGTTTTCCCAGACCTTCGCGGACACGTCGAACGCCCAGATCTCATTAGTCACGGTTGAGTTTTGCACGACACCACCGTACATGAATATCTTATCACCGAACAGCACGCACGAGTGCGCGTAACGCGGCAACGGCGCTTTGCCTTCCACATGAGGCGTCTCCCAGACGTTGCCGTTGTAATCGTAAACATAGATCATCTTGGCACGGTGAAAACTCTCGCCGCCGACCACATACAGCGAGTCCTTCCAGACGATGGAACAGTGACTGGCCGAGCCATCCGGCAGTAGGTCCTTATACGTAATAGTCTCCCAAAACCCACGATCGCCCTTTTGACCGCAATCCGCACCTACAAAGATCACGGACCAGTAACTACTTGCTTTACAGATTTTAATGTAACTTTAATATCTATCAAATATCAAAGTCGACGCAAAAGATTTAGGAAAACAGAAAGTCCTCGTTAAGTGTCTAAAAAGATATCGTAGTTCGTTCAGAAAAATTATGCTTCAAAATTGAATAATTTCGTTTTCTCTATTTTATTTGACAAACACGGCAAAACTCTTTGCAGTCTGATCCAATTCGTCGCTTTCGTATCGCGCAACCGTCAGTCGACTAATGGAAAATTCATGTCGGCGGCGTGACATTTGGAAATATTAGAAATTAATATTTTAAGAAATGATCGCCCCGATAATTCGTTGTCAATCTAGACGGACGAGTTCGATTCGGCCCGGATACGGATAAATCGAATACGTCCTATCTTTCAGGGGAAACCCGTTAAACGGGCGTGCGATGCAACGTTTTAGTTTTGCAGTTACGATTGTTAACCATATGCAGTGGTAACGTTAAATTCGATACACGATATCACAATATCCATTCGCAATATCACGTAATACCAGATTAATATTATACCAGCGAGAGCGTCGAGTTTTCGAAAGTATGAGCCTCGAATATTCACTGATCGCGCGATTGGAAAACGCGCAGATACATAATCCATAAACTGTAAACGCGCGCGATCGAAAATCACACAATATCGAGTTATTTTTTATTTTCGAGTAATTCTGCGTGTACAGCAGGGTACAATGCAGATCGACCTCGTGTCAGCTGTCAATAGCGAGCTACGCGAGCGAGATCGTCGTGGAAGATTCGCGCGATACGCGCATATCCCGTTGCGACAACAAGACGACGCTCGCTCACCTTTGTACCCGTTGAAGCAGTTGCAGTGATGACTCTCGCGATCGCACTCGCCCTGGCCGTGGATGTACGTGCAATTGTTGGGGCATACCTGCACGTCGCAGGCTTCACCGGTCCACCAGGCGTCGCAGGTGCATGTGCCCTCTATGCACACACCGTTCTGGGAGCAGTCCGTGTGGGAGTACCTGGGAACGTGGAACAACACGGGGCGTGTGTATACATGAGATACGTTGAATCAATCTTGATTCGAAGAGGTGGCGGCGACGGCGGTGGTGGCGCGATGCCACCGCGATCATGTCTAACGCCGTCGATGAGCAAATATATACACTCTTGTGCGCGCTATTTGCCCGCTCGCACGACCAACGCTTGCCGTGAACGCTGCGTCAATATTCCTTCTATTGAGAAAGAAGGTCTAGCGATAATAACCGCGATACGCTCTGATTGCGCTCTCGGTATTTGAAGAACGGAAGTCTGAGCGCGATAGGCTCTACAAGAGGACTATCGTGTTGCAACGTCATCGTGGCAGCAGCTTTAGCGGCAGACTGCTCGGCAAAAGAATCCGGAGGCAAAGGTATCGTGAGTTTCTCCGCATTTGGCGCGAACGGACAGAGCCGCCAAGCTCTCCTTGGCGAATCGAGTCTCGGGGATACGAACAGTTAACGAGAGCTCATTCTCCGAGTGTGTATTCCGAAATTCTGCGCTCCCCCAATCGGACCCAGACGGTTTTTGCACGAGGGGCCGACCCCCGACACCTCCCCCCGATTCTAGCCACAGGTAACGTTATCAAACGTGACACAGATCGAGCTAAAGTACTTCCTGCGCGCAGTGGAAGCTCGATAAAGTTCCTAAGCCGGGAGCGACCCAATTGCGAGTTATTGACGGCTGTATTCCGTATAATCTCTGCACTATTACGCGTCCTTCAGGTTGACGTCCACCTGGCTGCCGAGATTCCGCGCGTCCCCTTTCAGACGATTTATTCTCCCTTGAGGCCGCGTTATCGCCCGCGACGTGTCCACTGCAGGATGCACTTGACTTATATTCGGCACGTCCCGCTCGTAAGATATCCGCCCGAGGTCCCTCGCACGGTTCTAACGCGAGCTATAGCCAGCCAACCAGGCCGGCCACGTGTTCTCTACTCGTGAGCTGCTGCAACAGTCGTTGGTTTGCGACGCTTTTAAGGTCAATCGATGTCACGGTCCATCAAGTCGCGCCATTAATATGGATAATTCCACAAAACACGCCGCTTCACTTTTTTCCTATCTCGCGAGAGCGAGAGCCGTCGCGATACAAAGGTATCAACCGCGCGTGACGCCACGGTTATTTATCTGCTGTACCTTCGTATGCACCATATTAAAATATCTTCAGCACATTCGTACGTGACACGCTGCATTGTTGTCTGTGTTTTACGCAACGACGTGCTCGACTCGCCGAACGTTCTGTTCCGCCGCCGACATGCGGTAAGAATACGGTTCGATTCGACTTTAATGATTTACTGGAGATCGATCGATCGGAAATGATATCTTTACCGCGTTCGCTGAGGCAGAAGTCGAAGAGAGAGAGAGAGAGAGAGAGAGAGAGAGAGAGAGAGAGACCGCGGCGGGCGCACTCACCTGCTCGGGCAAGCATTGATTTTATACGTAATGTTGAAGCCGCTCATGTTGTACGCGACGTCGGAGTAAAAGTGCAGCAGCGCGCTGCCGGATCGCGCTATTACTTCCGGCACGCGGCGTATGTGATAGCCGTCCTTGTGCATCAGCCCGGAGAATACGGCCAGCAACGGCGCCTCGATGCTGTCACCGTCGTAGATGTACAGATGGTCCCAGCCGCATTCCGTCGCAAACTGCTCCACGTGCATGCGTATCTTGGTGTCCGGCTCGCTCTGGATCAGCCAGGAGCACTTCACGTCCGCAGTGTAGTTGCCGAAACCGTCATGGATGCTGCCGCTACTCCCCAGCAATCTGCCGGAAAAACAAAACTCAGTTTAGGAGTCGAGGCGTATGTGAATCACGCAATGCATGTGTGTGTGTACAGTAGTAGCAGCACCAACTTAACCCGGCTAACTCGGAGACGAGCACGGATCGACGTCAACGGTCACGACGACGCTCTCGCTTGAACTTTACGGCGTTCTCGGGACGTTGTGTCGCGTACGCAACGTCCTTGGAGTGTCGTACTGACGGAGTCGTGAGACGCGTGCGAAGACGATCGTAAAAATGAATTGACGGAGACGCGTGGGTGCCATTTACGCGAAACTTAGCGATACATGCACAAACGCAGGGAGAGAGAGAGAGGAGTCGTGAATTTCCGCGTTGAAATTAATCGCGGTAGTAAACTAGTTATAACTAATATAACTCGACTATAGTCGAGAGAATTTGGTCGTGTCTTTCTTTTACAAATCTAAGCTGCGACGAGCTGAGAACGCCTGTTGCATCTGCCACGATCGCGCTGCTCTCCATCGACTCCGCGATTCCGCGGTCGTCGGGAACTTGCGTGCGACTAGAATTGCCATTAATTCGATTAATGACACTTCCAGGCGCGAACAACTAAGCTTAATTATAGCTCGAGTCGGAACGATCGCTTGCGCCTGCACATACACACGTATTTGCATCGACACGCGCACACCTCGGGCGGATGCATCGGATGCGTGACACGGAAGAGCGAGATCAGCGGGTCTCATCACCGACGAGAGAGATAAAGAGAGATGGAGATAGACAGAGAGGGAGAGAAAGAGAAAGAGAGAGAGAGAATATGGCTAACATCATTAATTGCTTCCTATTTTTTTCAATGACCGCTCTCGCAAGCCGATAATAACGGCGCACCGAGGTGCGAGACAGGCCGGAAGCCGACGGAGTGGAAAACGCTCGGCGTCCTTGGTGAATCCCGACACGAGAGAAAGTGCGGTGCTGCATCTTAACATAGCCAGCCACCTGCATTTCCGTGACGATTGCGAAGACGCATCGGAAAAAGACGCAAACCTGACTAGCAATTTATCTTATATTCCCGATCAGGTTGATGCTAATCAGTCACAATAACGTAGCATAACGCTGACGTTATTGGGTTCTGATAAGTCATATTACGCAACGTGGTATATATATATATATATATATATATATATATATATATATATATACCA